GGTGTGCAAGCATTTGTTGCTTTACTACCGACAGTCCACGTATTTGTGCCAGTACCCTTGGAACGTTTTTCAACTATATTTCTCACAAAGATGCCGTAAGTCCTATGGTTTTCCGAACATGTACATAGCTTCTACTCGAAATGAGAGTAGCTGACTCACATACACGGTGTTTTTTGATATAAACACGGGGACTAAATTTTCCGAAGGCGTGATTATGACTCTCTTTAAATCGCACTTTATGCGCAACGGTATTTTTGTTATGTAAGAGAAGTTTGGCTCTGCCTAAAACGTGAGTATTGCGTGTACAGTCCATGTTTTAGAAAATAATTAGATTTGTTAGACGTTAATTCGGGCTTTTTACCGTGTCACGGAAAGCGTCGAAATGTTTTAACGAGCAGAAAAGCAGAAAGAATGCCAAATTTTCAGATAGAGACCTTCGATAGTCTGTATGATTCGGAAAGATTACGGAAAGACATTTTCCAAAACTTTGGGGCAGAAGAGACTGAGAAGAAAAGATACGCGAGCTGCGGTGGTCAAGGCCCGAAAAGGCCCAAACGGCAAATGAGTTATACATTCAAGATGAACTGGACTGGGGGTAAGCCCGTTTTAAAATGGGGCAGACAAAAAGTAGGGAGGAGGTATGAGTTGGCAGATGTATAATGGGAAAAGTCTAAAAGGTGAGATGAAAAAATAAAAGAGCATTGATTTAAACAGAAAAAAAAAACAAAAGTAATAGTAAAAATATCTTAAGCAGAAGGCGGGAAATACCTCTACGAGCATGATAAACAAGCTTGATACTTTCGAAGGTCATGAGTAGGCTTAGTGCAAAAAGCCCCGCCCTGGAGAGGCTCGGGGACGACCCTGCGGCCTCCGCAATAAGCCGCGGTGTCGCAACCCGGCTCGAAGGGGTTAGTAGTGTGTGTGTCCGCTCGCGGGATAATCGAAACACTCTAGAAATTAGCGTTAATGACTAGCAGTAAACTGTCATTTATGAGGGCGCGCGTAGGGATCGTATTATATAATGAGGTGCCGATATAGGGCCGGGCCGCAAAAATATTTGTTGTGGGCCGCGAGTTTGACATCCTTGGTGTAGAGCATCGTAAGATCATGGGAGAATGTGTCTCCAGATACTTTAAAAAGGTGCTTGGCATAATTTATGGCCAGCTGCCATTTTTCAGGGTGGGGATGATGATGATAGTCTCACATTTGAAGGTTTTTGGATATTTTAAAAAGGTGAAATTTTCCAATTAATGGATTTTGTGAAGAAATGTGGAGAGGCTGTAACAAATGAAGATGATATAACAGAAGTTTTTTATTGCGATGACAGTGCCCCAACCATCAATCAATTAACGGATGGCAAAATCTGTAATTTGGTTCTAGATCCAGAAAATACTGCTACCGATAGTGAAGAAAGTGACAGAGGGTTATTGAAAATGAAAAAATTTCGATTGACAAGTTAGTCAGTATTCTCAACACAGCAATTACAGGACTTGAACAGTGGAGCTTTGTAACTGAACAAGAAATTATGTCTGTTTATAGAATTAAAAAGAAAGTATTAGCACAAAAAGCAAAGCAAAACAATTTACATTGAAAGAAATGTTTAATAACGTAAACAAATAAATATTAAGCTTCTTTTTTGTAAATTTTGATACGCTTTAGATCATAATTGCTGCCTATTTCATAAATTACGGTTCCATAATTTGAATTGTATAATTTCTGCATGCAATCTTACCAGATTTAAATTGATGATCTAATGTCCGGAAAAATCCCAAATCCGGAATCGCCGAAGTCCCAACAAGTCTGGATTTCGGACTTTGTACTGTAGTAGTATTGATATTGTGCATAATGGAGTATTTATTTGTCTTTATGAATCCTTGGTGAAAATATTGGTTTAGCACATTTGTTCATTGCTCAGAAGCAAACATTTTCGCTTACCGCAGGTTATTTTCTCTAGGTTTGCTTTTAAAATACAATGGTTTTTCATGTCTGCTTCTTTGGCTATCAAAAATCTTCACTTTTAAAATATAGTGCTGTTTGAACAGTTACTGATATGAGCTTATGCATTTGATTTTAAACATTTAAAGTTTTTCATGCCTGCTCATACTTCACATTTCTTCAGCTATTGAAAGTTTTTGCTTTTTAAATTATACCAGTTTATCATTTCAAATATTTATTATGCTTACTATTTTCGATGAAAAGGAAACTGTATTTCCCCCCCCACAAGAATAAAGAATTTTGTTCCAAAGTAAAGAATTTGTGAAAATAGGCAATTATGTGTAAAAGAATCATTTGATTGTGTAACGTCAGCAGCTGCAACTACAAGAAGGTCTTCTTTCTGACAACCGAGGGCCCACCAGTGGGTGAGCAGTAAAATCAATGAACACTTTCCTTTTTTCATAGTGAAATGCAGATTCCATTATTTGGTGTTTGTGTGTGTTATCTCTATATTTTCATCTCTGAAATATATAAAAATTGTGGTACTTATGTCTTGACACAACCACCTTAGTAGAAGTCACCAAATTTTCAGAATGTGACAAATTCTGGCAACTATGCGCGTTACCATTTTTCTAGCAGCCATGCCTGTAACAGTCCTTTAATCAAGTAACACCGCTATTTTCGTATGCTTTTGTTTTTGTTGTATTCCAAATTCCAATGGTTTTTTTAAACAAACCAGGATATTTTTTGCCTTAATTTTAAAATATTAGATTGTGAAATTTGTCAACAATTGAAGAAACTGCAGTAAAATTTCTGCAAGAATACACAACTTTTCTGAACGTTTTCTGAAGGGAGCAATGACGAAACACATTTAGTAGATAGTTGCTGTTGCCAAGGTGTATGTGAAGCAGTCTGCACAATTCTTACTGACATTTTCTAAGTAAAAACAGATCACTGTGTACTTTAGGAGCACAGTGCAAAAAAATTACAGATAGGTTTGAATGTGCTTTATTTTTTTACATATTGAATAATTAAAATTTGTATTTTAAGTTACTAAAGTATGTTTTCTTTTTATATGTTGTTTCATATGTTACCAACATAATATCATAAATATTGATAGTTCGTGAATCTATGTCTCTATATACATACATATATATGTGTATATGAAAGAACAAAAACCACCAACTTGTGCACGATAAGTAACTTCTACCTTTTCATCTGTAAAAAATCGCCAAATTGCGCTAAGGTGGTTACATTAATACTTAAGTACTGAAATTGTTTGGAAAAGCATAATTGTAAAATGGTGATTTTCTTAAATTTTTGCATTCACTTTGTAGAAATCTCATGATAATTAACCTATAATCTTTTTATTTGAACTGTGCTATCAATTCTGTTTTTCATTAGCTCTCACCAGATAGATTAAATAAGATAGATATATACAAGAAGAGAATTCTTGAAAGCGAGGCAGAGAGCTTTGGCAGCAATGCTGACCATAGTACCATTTCCTCATTCAGCTATGTGACTTACCTTGTCCAGCATTTGGCATTTTGAAAGCCAAATCATGCTCGCATTTAATTAGAATTTGGACCAACACTTGTTAAGCTTTGTACATTAAATCTCCTGCTTCAAAATTACTTAGAGCAATTACTTGGAATCCCACAAATAGCAGAGATTAAATCTTAAGCACAAGCCGTGCATCTGTTCAGTTTAAAGTTTCAAATAAAAAGTTTGTTTAAAGGGCTAAGTTGTTATTTCAATAAATGGAGTGATACTTGCCCGATAATCACTGTTGCGTCAAGAAATTAAGTTAATTAAGAGTGAAATTCTTCATCTTATTCATTCTGAACTCCTTTAAATTAATTAAGAGCAGTACTTCAGTTTTCTTCATTTAGTACTTATACACTCTAAGGTAAAGTTTGTCAGTTTTGCAGTATCTGTATTGAGAAATCAAGTTACAGATGAAAGCTGACAGCATGCAGGATTGTTCATTCTCATCCTTCTAATGACTGTTTATCATGGGAGAGTGAATAAGTCTTATGTGAATAACAAAAAGTTGCTGCTCAGTGGACAACTTATAACTGCTGCCTATGCACAATATAACCTGCTGTTATTCATTGAATTTTTGTTTTCTACCTCCTTTTTTTTTTTTTTTTTTAAATACGTCTAGTACAAGAGTAATTTTCTATCTCTCTTTGAATTTTTCCCCCTCTTTAATTGTGTTCCAAAATGGTAAGATATTTGATGTTTTTAATAAGTCAATCAGCTTTTACTTTTTTGAGAAAGTTCATCTGATTTTGCCCCCCTTTTTAAAATTTGTCAGGTTTGTTCTTGCATATGTATAATATCAAGGTTTTCTGAAATACAGGTCTCATGACTAGACATTTCTGCTAAGCGTACTGCTGTTAGGGCTTTAAAAAATTAAATCAAAATTAGTAGTACAGAATTAGTATAGTGTAAGCAGTATATCGTCAGAAATATAAGTAGAATGTAAATTAATAAATCTAGTTTCAGATCCTTTTTAATCTTTTTTGCTTTTATATTTATTGTTTAGAATAATTGGAGAGAGTAATAGGAAAATTTATAATCCCTAATTATTTTGCATTGTTTCTAATATTTTTGCTTTTATTATATTTTTTGTGGAATATATCTATAATTTTTTTTATGTAAAAAATTTCAAGTGGTCTTTATGACTATGGTTGGACAACCCTATGTTAGTGAGTATTATGCGTATTCTTTCAATTGTTTCTGTAATCAAATTATGATCAAAATTTGCAGTGAATTCTACTATGGACCAGTGGGAAATGATTACAAAATGAAAAATGTGGACGTAAAAGTTGGAGCTATATGTGCTGCATTGTGGCCACGTGATAATAATTGGTACAGAACAAAAATAATATCCATACCATCAATGGAAGAGGTTGAGGTTTTTTTTTTTTTTTTTTTTTTTTTTTTTTTTTGTGTGTGTGTGTGTGTGTGTGTGTGTGTGTGCGTGCGCAAGTTTTGTCAGCTTTATTTAATATTCTGAAAATTTTTAATTGAAAGCCATTACACAATTTCATTTATAGCTCCTTTATGTTGATTATGGAACCAAACAAGTGGTGTCATCAGCATTGTTAAGATATATCCGGTAAGTTGACTTTTTAATTACTTGAACACCATTTCACATTTGATATTACAGATGTATCTCATTTTAGTATCCTTTGCAAATCTTATCTATTAATGTGTTCTGCACTTCATTTGGCTTACAAAATGCTGCATTTTGTCAACTGTATACAGTTATTGTCTGGTTCTGATAATTCCACAAAATTCTAAACTCTTCTTTTAAACAAATTACCTCCTTTCTTCTCTGTAATTATGGTAAGCTAAATATCATATAATGATCCAGGTGTTCAGCAGATGCTGATGTATTTTTTAAGTCTGATTGTTATTTAATTGCATCATCTTATGATTTTTTTTTTTTTTTTTTTTTTTTGTGTGTGTGTGTGCTTCTGTAGATTTGGAAAATTGAATTCATAGATTGATCCTTGTAATATTAAGAACTTATTCATTAAAATTACACTGATGTCCAAAATCATTTTTATGTGCATAAAAGCGTTTTTCTGGGAAGTAACCAATCAGTCTGATTCATTTTTACTTCTTTGTATGAAGTAAAGGAAGTTCTGTAATCATGAAAATTTTCACGTATTGTATTTAAAAAAAATATCCATTTTGATGGCTGTAGACCATAAAGCTGTAGGAAAAAATAACTCCTTCTCAACACTAGTTTCTGTCTGTAGCAGTTTATCACAGTAGGAACTTGACTGCTAGATTGATGAACTTAGAGCTTCCAATCATAGAATTTTTGTGGGGGGGGGCAAACTAGCTTTAGGAGAATGGTTTCTAAATCTTCTGACAAAAGGAACCTGTCTCCAAATTGTAGTTGGAGCACCAGAGCTCATATCAACAACAATCTAGTCTTCTTCAATGATGAGTCAAGGCTCAATTTGATGTATGATTCTAAATACCTGTATATATAGGGATAATGTCCTTATATTTGAAAATAAATTATGAAAGCCCTTGTAAGTGCTTACTTTTTCTCTGAAGCACTTATTTTTATTTTATTTATTTTTTATTTTTTTAATGCTTATTTTTTGTTTTTAGTGCTTACACCCCTCCCCCTGCATCAAAGCCACAACTAAGTAAACAACTTTTTCTTTCTTATCTGGAGCGTCAGATTGTGAATGATACTTCCGGAAATAGCTTTCTCCGCATTAGATTAACCTTTAACCTTTGATTTGCGCAAGTAGGGACAGGTGTACGTCATTCTATTGGTCAAAGAGTTGTGAAAGGGGTGGAAAATTCTGGTATATTTCACATACTTTTCCTCCCACCCACAGACTATAGAAGTTCCAAATCCCATGTGGTCAGTTTGTATTCGCATTTTTATGATCGTTATGCAGTGAATGCTGAAGTATAGCTAAACTTTATAAATAGGTGTGTTTTTAACACAGATTGGCTTTCTAAGAAAGAATATTCTGAATGGCTTAAACAAAGCGAAAATAATCGCACCAGGCCATGTGTTCCCGGTGTAAAACTGAAATCAGCATAGCAAGTATGAGAGAGTTTGCTTTAAAATGTCACATGGATTGTAAGTAAACTTTTCTCTGTTAAATTAAAAGATCCTAAAAGAAAAAAAAACTCTCTTAGAAAGAGAAGTTAGTGTTTGAAAATAAAGCAAATGAACTTGCTGCAAAGGCTAAAGTTACAAAAGACTTTAATCTTTTAAATAAATCTAATGAAATGTTAAGAACTATTTGAGGAAAACAAACTCTCTTAAGAGATTTGGATTCAGACATTAATGATAAGAAAGAAAAGAAAAATAAAAAATAAAGTAATATTACTAATTAATAAGCATTTCATTAATAAGCATAAATCTTTTTCCTTATGTTGTAAAGTACTTTGTATGAATATAATAAATACAGTTGATTATTATTTATTTTCCTTAAACTGTTATTTCATCGTAAAATCTTGTAATATAGTTTAGTTTTGCATAGGATTCTTTTCCCCCTCTCATTGTAAACTAGTTCTATAAATTGAACTGTTATTTGTAATTAAAAAATAATTGTAATTGTTTCCCATGGTTGAGTAATGCTGATTCTGTCTTTAAATACTGAATTTCTCGGATTTTTAATTACGGTTAAATCTCATTTTTATTTTAAGCTATGCAGTTGTGTATACATGTAATTAAACAGGTGCTCATTTTCTTTTTAAATGTGCTTGAAAAGTGCTTATAGGTGCTTATTTTTAAACTAAAATGTGGCTTTTAACCCTGAGGGAAAATCGAAAACAGAAAATCTCTCACAACAGCTATCAAATTAGGGCATGTAACTGTTTTGGCTTCACAAATGGGATGATAAAGGGATGAATAATGATAAATGGACACCGTTTGATGCATATGTTCAGCAACAAATCTCTTCATAGCACTATGAAGCACTTTTTAGCAATGCATGCAAATTCAAATTCTTTTTGTGGATGAAAACATGTAAACCTCTAGCAAACCAGATTGATATATTTCTTGAAACCAAAGACGTGTGAATCAAGTGACCAGCCTTGATTTGAATACCATTAAGAACTTGTGTGACAAACATGTCAAATGCACAACCCTTGACTCATTTTTTCTGACCCTCTAATTCCTCCAAGAAATTAACAAAAAATACATGATAATTAAAAAATATATACGAATAATATATTAATAAACATTAGAATTCCACCAAACATCGAGATGTAACCTCGGACACTAAAAAGGATTTAAGATGTCATTTTTGCAAAAAATAGGTCCTCAATTGACATTGAGAAAGTGCCAGACGAAATTTAAAAAAAATCAGTGATCAACTCTGAAACAAGAATTCAGTTAAGTATATATTCCTAAATTTTACAAATACATGTCTGCATGGTTCCCAGAAATCTGCAGGTTCGCATCATATGTGATTTCCATGCTTGATTGCATATATCAGCGTGAACAATTTTTCTCACTTGTAATAAAAAACAAATTTCCTGCGAGATTCAGGTTAACAGGCATTCATCTAACGTCTGTTCTGAAAACTGTAGTGTGTGTGCAATGTGTCTCGAGATATCCAAAAGCTGGATGCAGAGAAAAGTTGGCAATGTGTATCCATCTACTGTCAGGATATCTTTATTTTATTTTTAAGAATTACAGTATTATGTAATATCATTTGTATTTACTGACTTTTTTTAAAGGCATCATGAAGTATGAAAATGCCTTTTTTTTTTTTTTTTTTTTTTTTTTTTTTTTTTTTTTTTTTTTTTGGCTTGGTTTAGCTGTTAACCGATAACTATATAGCCCACTTAAGGCACTGAGTTTGGCATCCTGCCCTAGAAGAAGCTGTTGCATAAAAAGAAAATTAAAGACCATTTTAATTGAAGAGTGTAACATACTCCATATACTAAAATTAACAATGTTAGTGAGAGTATAAAATTGCATATTATGCTATATGTTTTTGCAGTAGGAGATATCTCATTCCTGTGCGTTGTCAGAAATCTGTATTTGTTTCCAAGGTATTATATTAGTTCCTAAAATGTTATTGCTACATTTGAGTAGTTCATGTTTTATGCATATAAAGATTATTTTAGACTACATTTAAATTTTTGACTGGGGTATTATTATTGGAAACATTTGAGTAATGAAAAATAAGTAACATTGGCAGTTTTCAGAAACCTCCTGAAAGTAATTCACTTAACCATAGTGACAGTAGTTTTAAAATGAAATAAAAGTTATATGTAACTGGATCATATTTTTTTTTTTTTTTTCTTTCAGGATTAAATTTTGAGTTTTAGGGAAAGTTTTAAAGGCCAGTTTAAATCTATTTTAACTCTGTTTTATAAATGCATCATATTTTTATTCAGAATGACTGAAATTTAACTGTATTGATAGTTTCAACAAATAAAATCTGTTCACTTACATCAGATAAGAGGAAAAGTTGTAATGTATTGTTTTTAAGTCAAAAGATTGAAGTAATTTATATTGGACACTGGAACATGTTAATTTTCCTACATGAAACATTTAAGTTTTAAGAAGAAAGGAAAAAGCTCTTGAAGAAAGTTGAAATTGCTGCTGTAGCAAATACAGAAATGAAAAACCGTAAGAGTATTATTGTTTAGTAAACTATTTTATATAAGGCAATCCCTTTTTTTTTATGAATTTTAAATGTAGGATCTACATATTTTTATAAAGTCTTGATCACAAAATGTTGATGTTTAATTGCATTCCCATGTATAGACTTATTTTATAATTTATTTGGGTTCATAATAGTTATACAGTCAAAAGTCGTTAATTCGGACACCCATAATCCGGAATGATCTATAATCCGGACCTCAAAGCTACAAACTTTCTGCGCATGCACGTAGCATTACGGCTGCATTTTGCGCACGTGCGCATAATACATTTACGCATGCGCGTTTAATGTATAACTGACGGTATAAGCTAAGCTAAAATTATCTAATTCAGTTAATGTTGCAGATTGCATTGTTCCTTAATCTTCGAATTGGATCCAGCTTATTATTTTTTGCAGCCTGTTAGAGCAATTTTATAAAAGTAAGCTTGAACTTTCGATTATGTCAAAAGAATTTCTGATTTATATTTACTGGATGTAAGGATCTACAAAGCGAAAGGCGTGTTTTCGGATGTCCATCAAACAAAAAGTGGAATTGCTGCAAAAATGGATAAAGGCATATCCTTTGTTTCTCTAAACTTTCCAACATTTGTTTATTAAACTTGTTTATCTTTTAACGCGCTCGCGCAATGAATTGGAAGTTGATCTGTCAGCACTATACTATCTTCAGGGCAGATGTTTTTTATTTTATTTGGCTTATAATTCTTACTAAATGTAGTATTTCATTTCGATATACTCCGTCTTTGATATAATTTAAATCAAATGCCTCATCTTATAATTCGCTTCTGATAGCGAAGAAAGTGACAGAGGTATTCAAACGAAAAATTTCGATTAACAAATAGTGGTTTCTCGACACAGCAATTATAGGACTTGAACAGCAGAACTTTGTACTGAACAAGAAATTTGTCTGTTATAGATAAAGAGAATGTATTATCACATAAAAAATGAAGCAACTTAAACAACTTACATTGAAAGAAATGTTTAATAAAGTAAACAAATAAATATTAAGCTTTTTTTTTTGTAAATTTTTGATACCCTTTAGATCATAATTGTTCTTTATTTTCGTAAATTACGGTTTCGTTTTTTAATTTTATAATTTCTTCATGCCATTTTACCAGATTTAAACTGATGATCTATAATCCGGAAAAATCGATAATCCGGAATCGCCGAAGTCCCTACGAGTCCGGATTAACGACTTTTGACTGTATATGTAAATATGTATTTAAGGAGAGTCTCATTTGACTTACTTTACGTATTGATATACTCAGATATGCCTGTTCTTTGTGATTCATGAGAAATAATATTTCGCTCAAAAATATTTATTTTTTCTAGGCAAGAGTTTGTGAATTTGCCTGTTCAAGCACTTCAGTCTCGACTTGCTTTTATTAAACCAAAGGAAATGGTAAGTATTAAGTTTAGAATTGTTTGCAAAGTTTGAAATAACTGTCTTTTCATTTTCATTTTATATTACATTACTTTACATCAGGTTTTATTACCACAGTGTTAATCATTCACACAGCTTTGCAAATAAGCGTGTGAATGGGTAATATTTTCTCTGACAGATTGTCTTACAGATTATAACAATACATTGCTTATAATAATCTGAGCAGATATTATTCTTACTAAAAATATCTTGGAAAAAAGTATCATCTGTAGCATACGATACTGGCCTTGAAATATTGTATTTATTACTCCCCCTCACCTGTCTCCCAAATCTTTTTCAGTATATGATTTCTAAGCTTTCATTTATTGTAGTAACATGTCATGCATATTAAGATAGCTAAGCTTGTATGAGTAAGAAATAATATCATGAAAAGTAATAAGTGTAAATGAAATTTAGAATAACTTACATTAGTTGATTTAGTTCTGTGTGCTTTTTATAAGCTTTTGTTTAATTTAGTCATGGTGTTTGTCACTCTGAAAAACTATCAAGTTCAAAATTTGCAGAGTCTCTGTGGATGATAATAAAATGCAGTGAAGTGATTATTTTTTTTTTTTCAAAATTTGATTTAAAGTATTTTAAATTGGATGTTTAAGTGATTTTCAGCATATATATTCATTTAACAAACTAAAAATATCAGAATTTTAATTTTCACATGTGATAAAATGAGATAAAATCATTTAAATGAAGCTAATGTGAAATGTTTAATAAAGTCTCTGCCTACCCCCTCAGAATTTTTTTTTTTTTTTTTCCTATTTGACTCAACAGTTAAAACAACAACAACAGTTTAAAGTGAAAGAATTACTTGTCCTTGTGTAAAAGCGTTTTTTTTTTTTTTTCCAACTGAATGCTTTAATTGATAATACAAACAGTACAATAATTTAGACGAAAAAGATGAAAATAAAGTAAGATTTAAAAAATTTATAAAAAAGCTTTTATTTAAAACTTAACAAAATAATGAACTGAAAATAAAATAAAAAGAATTTACCTATAGTTTCATGGGAACAAGAAATTAAATAATTCTCTTAATTAGTAATACAGAATTCATTGACAGTTTTATATCATGAATAATAAAATTGTGAGCATCCAAATAACATAATTGATAAATTGAAATGTACTGTCAAAAGTGTAAATTATTATCTTAAATTTATCAAGGGCACCATATGCTTTTATTATTCGTTATATAAAATGTAAATTAAAAGATCTTATGTACAGCTGATTAGCAACAATGTGTTCTCAGGTTTCTAATTCTGAAGCTGTATGATAGTTTTTTTTAGTTCATAATTAGTTTTTGAGTTTTAAATAAAAGGTTTTTTGACAAAAACTTTTTTAACCTTATTTTATTAACCTCTTTAACTGTCGCGGAAAACATACAAGATTCACTTCCTAGTGCCACAGTTTTTTTACACACAGGCGCACATAGTTTTGCGATATATTAAGGGGAAAATAAGTACAAGGTCTGCTGTCTAAAAAATGTTTCACAAAATAAAGAATAAAAGAAAAATGAAAATAGATAATTTAATGTTTAGAGTAAAAGTGTAATAAAAAAAATAAAAATGATGTTTGTATAATGAAAAAGATCCCAAAAAATAGAGTTTTGATCAATTTAGTTTTATACCAGTAAAGTGTAATATCAGGTTTAAGTGCTGTCCTTGTAAAATCAGTATACATAAGTGGAAAGTGTGGAGGCAGCATAGGCAAGTTTTTTATATCAAGTTGTACAGAACGGTGAGCATCTTTCAGAGAATAGTCACAATCCTCTTCATCTGACATAATATCATATTATGAGGTGTCCGATCCTGAAGATGACAGAAAGTAATCATGTATTTCACTGTCATACATATTTGTGAAAAAAGCACCTACTAAAACAATAAACAAAAATGGAAAACACAGAATGAAAAGTACGTTTTACTCAAACAGAAACACAAACAATAACTGCTCAGTCATTACTCATCACTGTCAGAAACAAAAAGGAAACTGTAAACAAAAAGTAAACGCAAACACGCAATGGATTGGAATTAATGGAAGTTTTCCATCAAAAAGCGTTCTTAATAAAGTTAGGGGAAAAAACATGAAAGCAGAACCTTTAGTGCTTGTAGTAATCACCACCCAAATCTATGACTTTCTGCTAACATTTTGGTAGTTTTCCAAAGCCTTCAGCCCAAAAACTTGTGGCAAAAAGAGATCAACCTCATTTTGGACATTCTGTGCAGAATGGAAGATAATATCTGCAAGATGTAGCTGAAACTGTGAAAAGGGTAAAGTCTGAAAGAGTGATGTCAAGGTTATATGGTGGGTGTGGAAAAAGGCCCCATTCGAGTCTGTATAGACTCTAGCTGGTGAATGCTTGCATTATTGTGATGTAGCATTACCTTTTTGCGCCAGAACTCAGTTTCGCATTTTTTCTTGATAGCAGTTTCAGCACCAAGTAGTATCTTGCTGTACACCTTACTGTTGAGGGTTTTTGTCTTTTTCCAGATACTCTTTGTGTATGCACCATGGCAGTGCCACCAGATACAAAGCATGATCTTTTTTGCTAGTCGAACTGCGCTTTGCGATGCTGCCGATGGGCTCACCAGGCGCAGACCGACCTCCTTTTCTTTTCCTCCTGTCTTGTTGAGATAAATCCACTTTTCATGGTAAGTGATGATCCGATCCAGAATTTTGTCCTTGCAATGATATTCAAGCCTATTAGTGCTCGCCCGAACACAATTGTCCTTATCTGCTTGAGTCAGCTCATGTGGCACACAGCATTTGAATTTCTGCTTCAAATTTATGTGACCCATAATGCTACTAATGGACATGGCTCTAATGTCTAACTCCTTAGCAAGCTCTCCCAGTGTTTGTATATTGATCCTCTTCCATAATTATCTCTTGCAGGCAGGCCATCAACATCAGTAGGCTGGCCAGAGTGCTCTGCTTCTTGAATGTCATAGTCCTTGTTTTTTAACTTTGGTACAAAACCTTCACAGCGTCATATGATACAACATTAGTACCTTATGCTATACACATGATTTGGTGACATTCTGTAGCTGACTTTTTGCAACAGAACTGGAAGTAAATGATGGTTCTAATCTGGTAGCATGATTGTTCCATTTCAAACACTTTGTACTTCATGATAATGGTATTTGTTTATGAATTTCACTACACTGTTCTAAAGCAAGTCTCTCTCTCTCTCTCTTTTTTTTTTTTCAAACATTAAAAATCGTTTAAAAAATATGATTAAACATGCTAACACGAACTGTTTTTGCAGACGATATTTGCAGTGGTGGGAAACTTTCATTAAAACTCAACACATGTTTCAAATTAATATTCTTAATAATATGAAATTATGTACGATTTTTATCGCATGGTAGTTTTCAGGACTTTTAAAAATGGATCACAATTATTGCTGATAAAAATGTATCTGAAATCATACCTGAAAACTTAACATGCATAGCTGTCTATAGCAATAATTTTGCTGCTCTGATCAGTATGATGATTACAGTTTCTGGCTGCCATACAGCCTGGGTTTGAATCTCAAAGAAAGCACGGATGTTTGTAATGCATACATTCTTTATGGGGCAAGGAAACTTCAAATATCATCAAGTTAAAAGTCTTCTTGAGAATTTATTGATAGCAGATCCTAGGATCCATCTCCAGGGGTGTTTCACATCAAAATTGGGACAGAAATGGGGCAAAAGTTGACTTGTCACCTATTAGTTGTTCAAGGTTCTGGACAATAATAAGTTGCTACTTCTTGGCCATGAAGAATTCGTAAACTCGAATGAAATCTTCTCAGACCAGCAAGATAAGAAACATCAACAGCATTCGAGTGCATTTCATGTAATTATTTAAAACCACCTCAGGTAATTTTTAGTACATTATGGCTATTTACTATCATTATTATTAGAATAATCTGGGCATTGAAAGTGTTTTCCTCTCTGTCATATCTTTCTTCGGGATCTGGAAAAAAAATCTATTGTACTTAACTATACTACTAAACTTGCTAATATTATTTGTACTTGATATTTTGTCATATGTGCAGCATATTCTGAAAAATCTAATTTGATTCATTTCTCAAATTGCTGCTGTGGATCTGAACTTAACAATTCAAGGATGTTTAAGAGTGCAATTTTTTCAGAACAACATGTATAAGTAATTAAAGTAACATAATTAGGCATTATTTGACATCTAAATGTGTAAGGAGTTCATATGTTCTTTCATTTTTTTAAAAAATTGATTAATAGTCCAAAGGGCCATGTCCCTGAAGGACTATTGTTTTCATTTTGAGATTTTGCGTTGGAACTTTATAAATGGTGTATCACTTTTCAAATCGATGGCACCAAATACTATCACCCTGTATTATATTTGAAGAAATTAAATAATGAAGAATCTGCATAAATGTATGTTTGTTTCTCGCATTGTGATAAAACAACGGTACCTAGAGCCATCCAATTTTGAATGACATAATCCTACTGTGAATATGGCCATCTGAAAGCCCAAATTTGAAATTTGAAATTTGTTTTATTATCGATTTCATATTTTGCGAAATTTTAACGAATTTTTGGTTAACAAACTCAATGATTTAAAAGCGAGCAATGGCAACACTCTATGAGGGGGAATCCTTTTTGTCTCCTGCACCCGGAACTCTGTATTGAAAATTGCAAAGATATGCTCATTTTAAAATTATTTTGCAACATTGCTATTGAACTGAATTTTATGGTTTAAGTGCAAAGAACATGATATTTAATAAATAAAGGCAACACACAAGATATTAGAAACACACCCCTTTGGACGTAATTTAAAATCTGAAAACTTTCACATTTTTTTTAAACTTATTTATTTATTTTTGTGATTGCTTTTTCTAAAGCATTCAATTAATATTTTGAATGATTTATTGTTTCAGACCTGGCCTATGCCTTATGTCCAAAAGAAGCTTTTTAGTCTCTGCAAAGACAGGCAATTAATGGCAAAAATAGTAGAGAGAAGGGTAAGTGTGTAACTTATGTATAATAAAGCAGAAAATGTGTGCTCTATGTTTTGAAAAAAATGATAGTAGAATAGGGAAAATAAAGGATAAAAAAATGACAGAAAATAACTATCATATTACTATCTATTCAATGAAATATAAAAGAGTAAAAGGAAAATTATATCATAGCATGTTTTTATTGTTTTACCAAGAACAATAAAATTAAGATTCCATCATTGCTATGCACTTAACAGGTATTTTAACAAGTCATATTATCATTTGTTATTGTTAAAGTTTGTGTGCCAAAAAATACCATTTTATAGTAACTATGGTAGTAGATGGTATAGTAATTTAGTTTTTTTATAAAGTAATTTCTGCAAAATGTTGTAAATAAGCAGAAATGGAAGTCAATGCTAGCATGTTCAAGTATCCATGTGGTTCAGATGTTCATATTTAAATGTACATATATCAATTGCAATTATCTTTAATAATCAATTAAAACATTAATAAAAATAATTCTGTTACATTTAAACATTTAATTTATGATTTTAAGACTGATTTAGGTATGAACATTTTTAATTTTTAATGATTGCAAATTTCACGATTAATTTTATAACAAATATTATTATATTGAAATGTTATGCCTTATTAGTATATTAAGATGATAGTATTATATCAGATTTACATAATTTTAGGAAAAGTAGCATAGAGAATACTTATTTATTTGTCAATTTTTGCTGTTACATTAATTTTTCACCCTGCCCCTTTTTTAACCCAAAGAGGTGGTAGTCCAGAGGGGCTATTAGATATAATGGCACTTTGTTGTGCTTCTCTATAAATGGTTAATC